ATGTGTGTGTCACAACTGATGAGTCAATATTGATACATTTTTGTGAACTAACGCCCATGCTTTATTCAGGTTCCCTGGATTTTTATCTTGTGTCCTTTTTCTGTTCCATCCCGATACCGCACCCGGGATATCACGTGGCATTCGATCCTACATCAAGAGTGAGGCTGCTCCTGGCTATGACAGCTTTTCCGACTTGCCTTGTGTTTTGATGACCTTGACCTTGACGGTTTTGAGGAATCCTGGTCAGATATTTTCTAAGATGTCCCTAGGTTGGGATTTTTCTCATTTTCTTTTCTTATGATTAGACTGAGGTTAGTGTTTTGGGAGTAAGATCACACAGACAGAGGAACCCTGTCATCGCGTGTATCAAGAGACCGGATGGTCAGAATGACTTGTCCCTGCTGAATGATGTTGGCCGTGGTTCTGGTAACATTTGTCAGATTTCTGTACTGCAGTTTCTTCTTTTTTTCCCCCAGCAAAAACTTTTCATTGCATTTTCCCAATGATTCAAAAACGAGTCCTGGGATCAGATCCTGACTCCGCCACTCTCAAGCCATGTGACCTGAACAAGTTACTCAAACTCTGTGCTTTCAGGGTCCTCATCTATGAAATGGCGATAATAATAGGATCTTATTCATGGATCTGTTTTTAGAATTACATGAGTTCATGTTTAAAGCTCCCAGAATAGTGGCAACAGAAACACTTATTTTTATCATCTCATGTAATCCTTACACAGCAACTGTGCAAGGTGGGCACTGTTATTTGCCTGGAAAATATGAAGAAACCAGATTTCAAAGAGGAAGGCAGTGATTACACTGTTCACCAGGTCTTTCACTGGCCAAGCTTAAATTCCTGCTGTGACATTTATGATGTGCCCTGAGCAAGATACTTCATCTCTTTGAGCCTCAGTTGCCATGCAAGGAAGATAAGCACAGGTCCCTACCTCCTAGGGTTGTTTGGAGGATTGAGTCAGATAATGCATGAAAAACCCTGGTCTCTGTTCCTGGAAATATAGTAAAACACCCAGTAAGTGTTAAATACTTTGTCATCATTGTCCAAGTGACCACAGCTGGTACTTGACCAAGTCAGGATTTGAACCCAGGCCCCTCACTAGAGAATGAGGAAGAGTCAGCTTTGTGGGAAGCCTCCGATTTGGGTACCACTGGCTTTTGTGCAGCTGGAAAACTCCCAACCAAGAAAGCACTATTGACACCACTCTTCTTGGCCTTCTGGCTTGGTTCTCAGAAGCATCCCGTCTTCTTCAGAGATAGGCATGTCATCACTGACCTCTAGCCGTTCTTTGCAGGTACAAAGCTGCCCTGACATATGACTGCTCTCCAGCATTAAACATCAGCCTCTGAGGAGCGCTGCCTCCATTTGCTCCTTTCTAATTATTTATTTATTGCCCCAGTCCAAATCAGGAACAAGTTTGGAGGGCAGCTCTCTACTTTGCACACAACCTTAAACCTGAAAGACATTAGAGGTCATCTAGTCCAAACCCACCCTCCTCATATCTTACAGGTGAGGAGACTGAGACCTACACAGTGAGATCAAAGATCAAGGGCATGCCATAACAGGAACTCAGGTCTTCACGTTCTCAACCAGTACTTCGGCTGCAAAAGCTTACAGTTTTCCCAAAGAGAGGTTTAATGAATGTTGAATTAAGGACAGTCCTATCTCATATGGAGAACTTGCGTGCTCGGGAATGTGATTTCAGAGACGTTTCCCATCATTATTTTTCACTTACAACCCTCAAAACCACATGTGAAATGGAGATCCTTTCATTTGTGGTTGAAGTTGGGGACAATTGTGTGACCCGCACAAGGTCACACAGCGGAGAGCATTGACGGATTTAAGCCTGTCGGTCCATCTGACCCCTAAGTCCACAGCATTGATGATTCTGCACCCCTCCTCCCTGTGCCATGTGAGGGAGAAGAGACTGGAGAATCATAATCTAGTGGGAGAAATTACATAAGCACATAGGCTGCTGAAGTATAATATTGTTAAGCAAATGGAGATTAGATATTTGAGTGATTAAGGGCTAAGAATGAGATGTTAGGATTCCTGGGTTGTCTGTCAACATAATATGGGGGAAGTGGGGGGGAGTATAAATGAAACTGGCCATGAGTTAGTAGAAGCTAGACAATGGGATTAGGGAGATTCACTGTTCTACTTTTGTATGAATTCAAACTTTTCCAAAATAAAAAAGAAGAAAAAAAATGAATTGAGGGAGCAAAGAGTTTCCACCTGCTGGCAGGTCACGTGTGGACATACATCCATGTATCTTTTCAATCGTTCCCATCCGAGGACTTTCTCAGACTCGGAGAAGGAAGCAGGGGCTTTCAGGCTCCAGGGCAATGTTTCCACAGCATCTTTAGTTCCAGATCAAGTTTTGACCCTTCACTTGCTTCCACCCTCCTTGGCCAGCCCATGGGTACTTACTTGACATGTTAGGAAGGTCGAAAGGAATTTAAACATGTATAAAGAAAGTCATTGCACTCTGGCCCTCCTCAGGCTTTGCAACCTCTCTCTTCCTAAGTCAGCCTCTGGCAGCAACTTCTGCCCGACTCCCAGGGTGTGGGGTATGTGATGGGGTGAATGACATCACCAAAGATTCTGCCAGTTAAATGGTCTCTGCCTTGATTTATGTCATCTTGGGACTTCAGGTGCTGACTCTGCAAGGAAAGAAGGTTCTTGGAGCTGTAACATGATTACCATGAATCAACTAATAGAAGCTCTGTGTGTCTTGTGGGAAAGACCCTTTGGATTGAGACAGCCTTATGGTATACCTCTCATTCCACCCGTACTGGCTGTGTGAGCTTGCATGGGTTATATAAGCTCTCTGTGCTTCAGTTCCCTGAACTGTGAGGTTGGGATAATAATCCTTACCATGGAGGATGTGTGGGGATTAAACTAAGTGGTGATATTTCCTGACTGCACAGAAGTGCTCAGAAGTGACACTGTTATAGCATCAAAAGGCTATGGTGGAGATAGGGGCAAATCCTATATCCGCTAGGCAAGGCAGGAATTCCCTTACAGATTAGCTGATATTTGAGCTATGTTTTAAATGCTAACTACAGCAGTAATAAAATAGCAGCTGCCATGTGTGTTAACATGTTAAATTCTGTGCTCAATGCTTCGTGTATATTTTTGACTCATTCAGATCTCATTACCATCCTGAAATACATATCCTGTAGCTATCTGCACTTTAAAGGTAGAGAAAGTCAATCTCAGCAAGGCTCAGTGACTCTCCCAAGGCTACTCAGCTAATGGGTGAAGCCAGAATCAGCTCTCTTACTTCTGTTTGACCCCAAAAGCCATTCTCTTACCCACGGAACTACCCAGCCTCTCTTGGAGGTTATGTTTGCATTTTCCAAGAGAAATGGAAAGGAAAGGGATTGGTATAACATGTCACAGAAGGAAAGCTAGGATATCTCTTTTTCTTTTTTGCACGCTTATTATCATTGGTCTCGTCTTTGTCCCGCAGCCAACTGAGAGTCGAAGGCAAGAATTGTTCTGTTTTTGTCGTCAGTATTTCCAGGCTAGTGCCAGGACATAGTTGGTGTTCAATAAATCTGTTTTGAATGAATGAAGAATGTGTTGGGCTCCACTTTCCCCCCAGTCTGCATTACCCATCACAGCATGGGTAGATGAATGTGTTTGTTTGAGCAAATTATTTTATTGCCCTTCCTATCTTAAAAGCTGGACGGTTTTTAATTGACCACATGGGATGTTTCTCTACAAGCAGCAAACATTTTCCAGTCCAAACAGTGAGGTAATCTCAGAGAGCAGCGATTACCTTCTCTCCCCAGACCCCGTCCCTTCTCCTGGTGTCTAGCATTTCTGAATTCTCTTTGAGGGCCTGAGATTCATTTCTGGTGACACTTCCATTATAGGAGGGGAGGTGAGCGGGTCACGTCAACACAGACAAGCCTAGACTAGCACTTAGCTTTCCAGGTGAGGTGTTTCCTGGGGTTGGTATTACAAATAAAGCACTGACCTGAGGTGTCAAACAGTTGTGCGTGGAAGCGGGAGGAGGGAGGAGCAGGTGCATGCTGGGGGCAGCTTTCTCCCAGGGCGGATGTGAGTGGTGCCAATAAACTGTCAAATAAAATTAAGGTTCAAAACATACAGCCTTCAATTTGATTTCACCAAGATGCCGACTGCTGCTCCGAGGGAACGCTATCGGTTCTGTTTTGACAGGTCCTGATGATGTACACTAAGCAGTGAAAGTCTCCTCTCTGTGCCGGATTAATAAAAGTTCACCTTAATTTGCAGCGTAAATAGAACCAGATCTGAGCATGAAATGAAGCTTCTAATTTCCTGACCTGCCCCATTCGCTCCTGTTGTCTCTCCTGCCAACGCTCCCTCCTTTCTGCTCTTTGACATCCTCTTCCTCTGCCCTTTCCTCTTTTTCTTCTTCTTTGCACCTTTAAAAGCCTCATCCTTCTCATTGTCTCTCTTCTATACGTAAAAGAAAAAGTAGGGGGTCTCGCGTTTGGGTCGCGCACTGCGCTGTATGCTTCTCACAAATCGCCCTAACTTCTGCACCGTCCTTGCAAAGAAAGTGGGATTGTGCCTATTTATAGACAGAAAAACAAGATGCTCATAGTGATTAAGTGCTTGCCTAGGGGCATATAGCCAGTAAGTAGCAGAGTGGGGATTCGAACCCAGGCCTCTCCGATTCTACCAGTCCATGCTATTTTCACATCAGTGCTTCTGAACTTTGTAAAACATCGGAACTACCTGCTTAGGTGCCACCACAGTATTTAATGAGTCTGGGGGAGAGTCCAGGGCCTGGGGCAGCGCAGTAGTCTGCTTTTCTTCTGTCTCCATTTTCCTTAGCACATAAACTGATGTGTATGTTGAGGCATGTTGCCGAAAATGCCCCTTGGGATAGAGTAGGGTTCTTTTCCAGTGCCTCCCACCGGGAAGGCCTTGCCTTTCTGGAAGTCAGTGGGGCAGGAAAGCTCACGGGTGTCCTTGTGTTGATGATGCAGGTGGGCAAGTGGGAGAACCAGACCCTGAGCCTGAGACATGCCGTGTGGCCGAGATACAAGTCCTTTTCGGACTGTGAGCCGGACGACAACCACCTGAGCATCGTCACCCTGGAGGAGGCCCCCTTTGTCATCGTGGAGGACATAGACCCGTTGACCGAGACGTGTGTGAGGAACACCGTGCCGTGTCGGAAGTTTGTCAAAATCAAGTGAGTCCAGGGATCCTGTGGGTTGAATGTGCCTAATCCTTCAAAATAGAGCCTGTGTCATTGATACAACTGTATGTGTAATACAGCAAAGTTTAATACAAAATAGACTCTATTATCATTGGTATAATAGAATAACATTGTTTTAGACTTAAATAAATACCTGGAACTATTTCAAATAGTTTGCATTCATTTAGCCCCACCCACAGCTCTGTAACATAGGTGGTTTTATGCATTTTCAATATGGTGAAACTGAGTTCAATGGGAAGATTAAAAATATGTTCAAAGCCGTTCAGCTAGTAAATGGAGGAGGCAGGACTCTAAGACGGGTCCATCTGACTCCGCCACCGTGTTCTCAACCATCGTGCTGAGTCAACTTTCCCCTCCAGCCTCTCCTTCAATAACTTTCTGTTTTATTTTTCTGGACACTCCTCCCCCAACTCTGCACCTTCCATCACTTTGATATAACCCAGATATCCAAAATTTTCAAACAAAACTTCTCTCCCATTGTGAGTGAACATGCACCCTACATCTGACTTCCCAATGGGATCGTGGTGGCACTTACCTGCTGGTAGCTTCCTAGCTCACTGACAGCCAGCAAGCAGTGCCTCGGTGTCATTTCCTCTTTTATTATGATTGAAGAAAGAACTGACGTTTTCTATCGGAGCTTCTGGTGAAGTGTTCGCCCTAATCTATAAACCTCTGGTGAAGCATAAAGCTTCCTGACTAAGTCTGATTATACTCTTTGCTAATGCAAACACAAGCACAAATACCACCCTTCTGGGGGACTCACCAAAGGAAAAGGCTTTTGGTGGAAATTAAGAGGTAACTGACTTTGTTTCTGAGTATTTTCTGATCACCTCCTTTCACCTAGATAATTCTCACTTGTCCTGGAAGTTTTAACCACTCCCTCCCCAAGTTGGGTTAGTTTTCTGTCATCCACAGAACCCTGGGGATGTCTCTGTGTCTTAGGCTGTCTAGGCTGCTGTAACAAATCACCACAGGCTGAGCGGCTTCAACAGCAGGCATTCATTTCTCACAGGTCTGGAGTCTGGGAAGTCCATGATCAAGGTGCAGGCAAATCTGGTGTCTGATGAGGGCTGCCCAGCT